TACCTGGGCCCTCAACTGTCCCCTTTCCCTCAGCACCGAAACCCTCTCACCCCTCCAGAAGCCTGGTCCCTCACTCCGGCTGCGACTGCCCGCACCGGAAACGCGCCCTGGCCTCGCGTGGTTCCCAGCAGCGGCTCGCACGGAACCTTTTCGTACAGTTCCGATTCAGGGGAGCCCTTTTGGCGGGACACCGCCGGGCCCTGCTTCCTCCGGTGAGTAGGAGGGCATTCTAGGGAGCACTCTCCCAGGGTTTAACTTCCGACACTGGGTGTGGTTTTTGTTTTTGTTTCCCTCCCCCTCTCCCCCGCCCTCCCCACCGGGCTCTTCCGGCTGGCGGCCATCTTTTGTTCCTATCCTACGGGTCGTGTGACCTCACTTCCCGGGAGGGGGCGCTCACACTGCGTGAAGTCAGGACTAGAGTCCCAGGAGAACCGTCCCTCCCGCTTCCCTTCGAGCACAAATGTACTAAATACTAAATTCTAGAACCTAGGGATAAAGCAGTAAGCTCACTTGAGGCTTCTGGTCGGGTTGAGAATTGGGACAAACAATAAAAAGAAAGTGATAGTGAATACACGGTTATGTAAGTGCTGTGAAGAAGAACAGAGCAGGGAAGAAAAAAAAACAAGGCTGAGAAATCTCTGCAGAAGTGATAATCAAATAGACCGACATGAAGTTCAGTCATAAAGGAACAAGCCTATTATTACCAGAGAGCCGAGAATTATAGTGAGCGCTAGATGGTAGGAAATGCAGTAGGAGAATTTTTTTTATTATTGTAGGAGGATTTTTTTTTTCAATTATTGTTTTTTTGAGGCAGGGTCTCACTATGTAGACCAGGCTGGCCTCTGACTCACAGAGATTCACCTGCCTCTGCCTCCTGAGTGCTGGGATTAAAGGTGTCAAGTCTGACATTACTATTATTCATTATTTATGTGTTCATGTGTATGTCTGTGTATGAGGTAGTCAGAGGGTGTGGTAGTTTGAATGTAATTGCCCCCCATAAGCTCATAGGGAGTAGACATTTTAGGAGGTACTGCTTTGTTGGAGTGGGTATGGCCTTGTTAGAGGAAGTGTGTCACTGTGGGGGTGGGCTTTAAGGTTTCCTATGCTAGGATACGACCTAATATCTCAGTCAACTTCCTGTTGCCTTCTGATCAAGATGTAGCCGGCACCATGTCTGCCTGTACACTGCCGTGTTCCCTGCCTAGATGAGAATGGACTAAACTTCTGAAGAGTAAGCCACCACCTTAAATGTTTTCCTTTATAAGAGTTGCCATGGTCATGGTGTCTCTTCACAGCAATAGAGACCTGAACTAAGAGAGAGGGGTGTCAGGTCCCTAGAAGCTAGAGTTGCAAACAGTTGTGAGTAATCTGATGTGGGTCCTGGGAATTGAACTCCGGTTCTCTGGAAGAACAGTATGTGCTCTATAACCACTGAACCATCTCTCCAGCCCCTTTTTTCTTTTCCTTTTTTTTTTTTTTTTTTTTTTTTTTTTTATGAAATGGAGGGACGGGGTGTTGCTCACTGAGAAAGGTCTTGTCTTCATGGACTCATAGCACTGGGAAGGCTGAAGCAGGAGCATCAAGACTTCCAGGCCACCTGAGTGACAGAGAGAGAAGTCTGGATCACACCTTTAATCTCAACACTCAGGAGGCAGAGGAAGGTGGATCTCTGTGAATTGGAAGCCAGCCTGGTCTAGAGTTCCAGACCAGCCAGGGCTGTTACACAGAGAAACCCTGTCTCAAATACCAAAAAGAAAGAAAAGAAAAGACAAAAAGAAAGAGGAAAATAAAAGAAAATGGGCAAAAGACAAGAATAGTCATTTCACAGGCAGAATATACAGGTGACGGGGGGAAGGAGGAAAAAGAAGGGCTGTGGTTGTAGTTCCGTGGGTAGAATGTTTGCTTGGCATGCACAAAATCCTGGGTGCAATCCCCACAATTATCTAGTTTTGGTATAGTGGCACATGCCTATAATCCCAGCACTTCTGAGATAGGGACAAGAAGATCAGAAGTTTAAGGTTAATCTTAGCTACATAGTGAGTCTGAAGTCAGCCTAGATTGTATCAGACAGCCTCAAGAAAAAGGGAAAGGAAAAAAAATATCAGATATGTTGGCTCATGCCTAGAACCCCATCCTTCAAGGCTGAGGTAAGAGGATTACCTTGAATACAAGGCTAGTTTTACCCGTGTAAGGATTTCCAGGGCAATGTGAGTACACACACACACACACACACACACACACAGAGAGAGAGAGAGAGAGAGAATCTTTAACTTCATTAGCCACTAGAGAAATATGAAGTAAAATCATATGAGGTATCAATACACTTGTAAGAATTCTAAAATAAAAAATAGTGAACACTCTCAGCTTTTGAAAAGCTAAATCAGGAAGACTGAACATTCAAAGCCAGCCTAAACTACAACAGTAAGAACTTGGCTTCAACCTAGGTATGATAGAGGCAGGAACATCAAGAGCTCAAGGTCATCCTATGCTACTTAAATTTGAGATCAGCTTGAGTCACATAAGACCCTGTTAAAAAAAAAAAAACTTCCTAAAAAAAGAGAGAGTCTAGTAATGATGACGCCAAATACTATTGATGAGATAAAACAGGATCTAGGTTCTTGACAGGAATTTAAATTATTCTGACTGAAAAATTCACTTGCTGCCTAGGGATACAGCCCAGTGGTAGAGATTTAACCTAACAGATACAGAACCCTGAGCTTCATCTTAAACTGAAAAGCAAACCTGGAGCTGGGACATGAACCAGCACCCAAATGATGACACAGAGATTATTATTCTCTCTCTCTCTCTCTCTCTCTCTCTCTCTCTCTCCTCTCTCTCTCTCTCTCTCTCTCTCTTTGGTTTTTCGAGACAGGGTTTCTCTGTGTAGCTTTGCGCCTTTCCTGGAACTCACTTGGTAGCCCAGGCTGGCCTCGAACTCACAGAGATCCGCCTGGCTCTGCCTCCCGAGTGCTAGGATTAAAGGCATGTGCCACCACTACCCAGCAAGATTTATTCTTAGTTTTGAATGCTCCACCTAGTTTGGGCATGTTTTTAGCTAGCTCTCTTTAACTTAAATTAACCTGTTTCTCTTTATCTACCTTTGCCTCGGGGCTTACTACCTTTCATACTTCTGTGTATCTTACTTTACTGCTTCTTTCTGTCTGTCTGTCTGTCTGGCGTTTGCCTGGTTTCTTGCCCGGGGCCATGTTCTTGTTCTCTCCTCCTCCTTCTTCTTCTCTAGATCTTACCCCCTTTCTCTTTTTTTTGAGTCTAGATTTCTCCTCCTATTTACTCTCTCTCTCTCTCTCTGCCTGCTAGCCCACCTATCCTTTCTCTGCCTAGCTATTGGCCATTCAACTCTTTGTTAGACCAATCAGGTGCCTTAGGCAAGCAAAGTGAAGCAGATGCAACATATTGGTACATAATTAAACACACACCTTTACATCACTAAACAAATACAGCATAAACAAAAGCAACATACCTTTATACAGTTAAATATTCCACAGCAAAAATAAATGTAACACATCTTTATATAGTTAACAAATGCAGCATGAACAAATATAATGCATCTTTGCCTAGTTAAACAAATATTCCACAACAGGGACATATCTATAGTCTCTGATACTCTGAGGCTGAAGCAAAGGAATCACTTTGGCTCAGGAATTCAAGGCCAGCCTAGGAAACACAGTGAGACCTCATCTCTGAAAAAAGGAAATACCTAGATTGTAGCAAAAATGAACAAACTGCATTATTTCATTTATGTAACATTCTTTTGGGGTAGTGGATCAGATCTAGGGTCTCACAAATGCTAAGCATGTATACTACCCCTGAGCTTCGTATATCTCCAACCTCTGTAGCACTTTGTTAAATGACAAGAGGTACCAGGAGTTAGGAGTAGATAAAGAGTACACATATTGGTAAAGAGGCACCATAAGGAAATCTTGGACCATGCCTAGCCTATTTCAGCAAGCTTTGCTTTAGCTTTTGTGTGGTTGGTTAATAAGATAGTTAATTGCTGGTTTTGTTTATTTGTGGTTTGTTTGGAAACAGGACCTCATGTAGCGCAGACTGGCCTCAAATTTATGTTGTAGCTAGCCTATTTCTGTATCTTGACTGTGATGGCAATTACCCAAATGTACACATATAACAAAGTTTCAAGAAATCATACATACAGGACATAAATGAGCACAGGGAAAACTGATGAGGACGTAATTCTTGTGGGTAACAAGAATGACAATTTTCTAGATTTGTTTATGATTTGCTTTGGTTTGGGTTTTTGTTTTCCTTGTTGTTTGGAGGTAGTTGTTCTATGTAGAATTAATTTAATTAGGATGTTTATAAGTTGTAATTTAGCCCAGGCTAGCTGACAACTTACAAAAATCCTGCCTTAGCTTCCCAAATGCTGGGATTTTAAGCATGAGCCACCATGTCCAGCTTAATATCTTGGTTTTAGGTTTTGTTTTTGTTGTTGTTATTTGTTGTTTGAGACAGTTTCTCTTGTAGCCCCGGTTGGCCTCAAAGTTACTAGATAGCCAAAATGACCTTGAACTTCAATCCTCCTCTATCTCCCTCCAAAATGCTGGGATTACAGGTGTCTGCTCCCACACCCAATTTATGTGGTGCTAGGAAATCTAAGGGCATGGGATCCTGGACTATGTAAAATGGAGAAAGTGAGCTGAACACAAGAAAGCATGCATTCCTCACCCTGCTTCTTGACTAGGGGTGTAAATAGCTCCCTCAAGTTCCTGCTGCTGTGACTTCTCTGCTATGTTGGACTGTGACTTGGAACTAGGAGTACATACACACACACACACACACACACACACACACACACACACACACACACACCATCTTTCTCTCTTAAGTTGCCTTTCTAAGGGTATTTGATCACAATAACAGGAACACAAATCAATGTACTCTTTCTGTCTTAGTTACTTTTCTGTTGCTAAGACATCATGACCAAAGCACCTTATAAAAGAAAATATTTAGTGTGGGGCTCACTGCGGCAGAGGGTTAGAGTCCATGACCATCATATGAGGAGCACAGCAGCAGGCAGGCAGGTGTGATGCTGGAGCAGTAGCTGGCAGCTCATATCTTGATCTGCAAATAGGAGGAAGAGAAAGAGAGCTAACTGGGAATGGCATGTGCTTTTGAAACCTCAAAGCCCACCCCCAATGGCACATCTCCTCCAACAAGGCCACAGCTCCTAATCCTTCCTAAATAGTTCCAGTTGGGGACCAAGCATTCAAATATGTGAGCCTGTGAAGGACTATTCTCATTCAAACCACCACATTGTCACAAAAACAACAACCACGCAACAGCAGCAACAAAACAAGCACAGACCTTTAATTCCAGCTACTTGGCAGGCTGAGACAAAAGGATCACAAGTTCAAAGCATGCCAGTGCTACAGAGTGATTTTTAAGCCCACCACCCAACTCTCAGATAAATACATGGAGATTTATTCTTACTTACAAATGCCCCGACTTAGCTTGGCTTGTTCCTAGCCAGCTTTTCTAACTTAAATTATCCCGTTTCCCTTTAACTACCTTTTGCCTCTGGGCTTTTTACCTTCCTTTATTCTATACATCTTTCTTTCCTTCTTACTCCATGGCTGGCTGTGTGGCTGGCCCCTGACACCCTCCCCTTCTCCTTTTCTGGCTCCTTGTTCTTCTTTTCTCCTCCCCCAGCCTAGATTTCTCCTCCTATACATTCTCTCTGCCTGGCAGCCCCGCCTGTCCCTCTCCTGCTTAGCTGTTGGCCGTTCAGCTCTTTATTGGACCAATCAGGTGTTTTAGGCAGGCAAAGTAACACAGCTTTACAGAGTTAAACAAATGCAACATAAAAGAATGCAACACAGCTTTGCATCATTAAACAAATATCCCACAGCATAAATGAATGTAAAACATCTTAAACAGCGCATGATAGTGCACATGTATAATCCTAGTACCTTAAGCAGGAGAACCAAGAGTACAAGGTCATCCTCAGCTAAAATAGTGAGTTCAAGGCCAGTCTGGGATCCATAAGTCCCAGTCTCAAAAAAAAAACAAAAGAAAAACGAAATTAAACCACCTTTTTATTGGTTGGGATGCACTTCACTTGTGCTTTTCCAACATCTGTATACAAAACAATCACCTGGGCATTTGCTAAAACTCGGGGTTCCAGTCTGTAGTCTGTCATGAAACCTGAGAATTGAGGTTTTCAGCCCTGTTGGTTGGTAGACTCTTTAAGGCAGTTTCAGAGCTGGGTTCTTGTTTTATTTGGGGGGGGGGGGAATGAAGTGAATGTAATTTTATAGTTTGAAAAACAACTTTAAATACGTTTGGGGTGGAGGGACATGTGCCTTGCCATGTATATAGAGCCCAGAGGACAATTTGAAGGAGCCCATGTGATCCTTCCATGTTGTGGGTTCTAAGGTCAAACTGAGGTCATTAGGCTTGGCAACAAGAGCCTTTACCTACTGAGCCATCTCACTGGCTTGTTTTTCAGCCAGGTTCTTTTGAAGTGAGTATATAGGCTTTGCTAGGAGTTGGGAGACTGCTTGGCAGACGCTAAGGAAAAGAACAGGAAGGTCTCCTGTCTTCCTGGAAGCCTGCTAATTCTATGACTCTCCCCCTCACCTTCCTTCTTAGACCTGTACAACCCACAGGTGCTTCTCCAGGGAAATGTTCTATGACCCAAGTCAGAAAGCTCTAAGAATTTAAAACTAACAAAGTTTTATGGCCATAGTATTAGTGAGGGTTCTCTAATGGAACAGAACTGGTAGAATTAATATGTATAGAACGTATGCATATGATTTACTAGAGTGGCTTACAGGCTGTGGCCTACCTAGTACAGCAGTGGCTCTGTCCTGACAGAAGGGCCAGGAATCTGGCAGTTGTTCAGTCCAAGGGGCTGGATGTTTCAGTTGGTCTTCAGTCTATATTGGAATCTGAAGAAGCAGGTTCTCATACCAGCAGCAGGATAAATAAACTGGCCAGAAAGAGCTGGCAAGCAAAAAGCAAAAACTTCCTTCTTTCATGTCCTTGTATGTGGGCTGCCACCAGAAGGCGCTGGTATCATCAATAATCAAGGTATGACACATTAGGTTCAGGGTGGGTCTTCCCACCTCAAATGATCCAATCAAGACAAACCCTTACCTGCATGCCCAGCTACTTGGGTTTTAGTTGATTCCAGTTGTAGTCAAGCTGACAACAAAGATTAGCCATCACTGGCATATTAATCTATGTCCTGTCAAGAAACCTTAGCAGGAGATTTCAGAGTAACTTGAAACACCCAGCTTAGAATGCACTGTCTCCACTGGCAGCCACTCACTGGCCTTCAGCCTTTCCTACATAACTTTTCTTGTTGTTGTTGTTGTGGCTGCTGGTGGTGGTGGTGATGGTGGTGGTGGTGGTGGTGGTGGTGGTGGTGGTGGTGGTGGTGGTGTGTGTGTGTGTGTGTGTGTGCTTTTATGTTACTAGGAATCAAACCCAGGGCCTCATGAATGCTAGGTAAACACTCACTGAGCTATGTCCCCAGTCCCTTTCTCCTTTTTTATTCTTTTTTTAATTTTAAGACAGGGTCAGTCTCACTAACATTGCTCAGGTTAGTCTTGAACTTACTCTGCAGCCCGACCAATCTTGAACTTACAAACCTCCTTCAGACTCCCTAGTACTAGGGTCATAGGTATTTGTTACTGTATCTACCTATATTTGTCAGGGTTTTCTAGAGCAGGGGTTCTCAACCATGGCTGGTGACCCCTTTGGGGGTTACATATATATCCTGCATATCATATATTTACATTATGATTCATAACAGTGGCAAATTTACAGTTATGAAGTAGCAATGAAATAATTTTATGGTTGGGGGCTACCACAACATGGTGAACTGTATTAAAGGTATGAAGTATTAGAAAGGTTGAGAACCACTGCTCCAGAGGAACAGAACTTATAGAAGGAGCCTATATATCTATATAGTCTATATAGATATAGATAGAGAGAGAGAAAGAGGGAGTTTATTAGAGGGGCTTATAGGTGGTTCTCCAGGTAGTCCAACAATGGCTGTCTACAGCAGAAGGTCCTGGAATCCAGTCGTTGTTCAGTCCACGTGGCTGGATATATTGTCTGGCCTTCAGCATACTCCAGAATCCCAAAGTAGGCTTTAATGCCAGTGAAGGAATGAACTTGCCAGGGAGAATGAGAGCAAGCAGACAAAAAGCAAGCTTCCTTCTTCCATGTGCTTTATATAGGCTGCCAACAGAAGGTGTGGCCAAGAGTAAAAGTGGGTCTTCCCACTTCAAACGATTTAATTAAGGAAAAACCCCTCACTGGTGTACCCAGCCACTTGGATGTAGTTGAGATGACAACAAAGAATAGCCAGCACTACCTAAAAGTTTTTGTTTGTTATTTTCAACACAGGGTTTCTCTGTGTAGCCCTGGCTGTCCTGGAACTCATTTTGTAGATTAGGCTAGCCACAAACTCTTGAGATTCGCCAGCTTCTGCCTCCTGAATGCTGTGATTAAAGGGATGAGCCATCAGGCACAGCCAAAATGTTATTTGAATATATTAAAAATAAAACATAATAAAGGAAGAAATGTTTAACAAACTTCATTAATGATATCAACTATTATCAACGAGAAAAGAGGGGGGCCAGTGAGTAAAGGTGCTTGCCACCAAGCCTGATGGTCTGAGTTTGATCCTTGGACTCTGTATAGTAGGAGAGAACTAACTCCAAAGAGTTATCCTCTGACCTTTACATGGGTGCCACCAGCCCCCCAATAAAGAACCATAAAAATAAAATAAAATAGAAATAGAAAAAGGAAAAGAGTAGCTAAGTGTAGTGGCTTATGCTTGTGATCCCAGCAACTTGGGAGACTAAGGTAGGGTATCAGGAGTTCAAGGCCATCCTCAGTTACATAGTAAGTTCTAGACCAGCCTAAGGGGTTGGGGTTCAGTGTTGGAGTTCAGATCTGACCTATCAAAGGGTTCCTTGAAGAGGGGAGTGAGGAATTGAGAAATGCTAGATAGAAATATAGATGAAAGACACAGGATAGCTTCGGGAAGGTCCTGGGTCAATACCATGCAGCCTCAAGTTTCTTTTTTCTTTTTTCTTTTTGGTTTTGGTTTTTCTGAGACAGGGTTTCTCTGTGTAGTTTTGGTGCCTGTCCTGAATCTCACACTGTAAACCAGGCTGGCCTGGAACTCACAGAGATCCACCTGGCTTTGCCTCCCGAGTGCTGGGACTAAAGGCATGTGCCACCAATGTCCGGCTTGAGTGTATTTCTAATGGGCTTTTTATACACTAGCAAGAGGAGCGGCAAAAGACCTCCCCCTTTCAAGATCAAAGCACAAGATACAACCAAGTGTAGACCCTTTAAAACACCTGGTAATCACGCCTTTGACCAAATCATTCTATTATGCAACCCTGCTGGGTAAAGCAAGCTCAGACTTTCTGACCTTGAGTAAGACTTTATTAAGGAGCTTCTGTGGGCCCTCACACTAGGGTACATAAGACACTGTCCACCAAAAAAAAAAAAAAAAAAAAAATTCAAAAACTCAAATTAAACAACACAAAAAAATGAACTATCCAGGGTGTTTTGTTTGTTTGTTTTTGTTTTTTACTCATTAACAGAGAAAAGAATAAAAGACATGGCCCCATTAATTCATGTTCACACTGGTACACAGGAAGAGCTGCGGTTTAGATCTTGATCCAAGTTAACTAACGTCTGGAAATTGAACAGAAAAGATGGAAGAGAAGAAATCTAATAGGAGACTGGGCATCATCAATAACCAAAGTGTGACAGGTCAGATCTTCTGGGTTAATACAGTCAAGGAACATGTTTTTGATGGATTCCTGGGATAAACTGATCAGGTTTGCACCTGATTAGAATAGCAAGTCTTAGATGGGCACTTAGGTAATAGCAGTGCTTAAGAGCATGGCTGTGTTTCTAAAACGTTCGGGTGTGGCTTATGGTTCTGAGAAATGTGGTCTTGGACAAATTACTCACCATTTCTAAGGATCAATTTCCATAGTTGCTAAATGAAGAGGATAGCCCTTACATCATCAGAGTGTTGTGAGGATTATAAAAAGTAATCCAATGAAATTTTAACAGACTATCTGATACACTGTACTAAATGTCAGCCTTAGAAACCGTGACAATGTGATCGAAATACAAACAGGAAAGCCCTGTGGACCAGCTAGAGGACCGTGGTTGGTTGTTACTGGTGGAGGATTGAAATAGAAAGTGCTCAGCAACTGGGCTAGAGAGATGGCTCAGTGGATTTGCCACACAAACCTAAGGACCTGAGTTCAAATCCCCAAACACACATTAAAAACAACAACCATAAATACAACAAAAGAAACCAGGCACGGCTGAGCACATGTCTGTAACACTAAAGCTGTAGAAGGCAGAGATAGAAGACTCAGAAGCTTGCTGGCCACCTACCTAGCTCCAGGTTCAGTGAGAAACTGTCTCAGGTTATAAAGCAGAGAGTGATAGATCAGGACGCTCATAGTTCTGCTCTGCCCACTACAGGTGCCCACAGACAAACAGAGTTCTTAGAAATTAAAGGGAGTTTAGAAGAGATGCCAGGCTTGAGGACAGACATTTTGGAATTGTTTACCTAAGGTGATATCTAGGACCTTAAAAGTATTTTAAAAGGGGTGATAACCATGGATCCCAGCACTCAAGAAGCAGAAGGAGGCCAGGCAGTGGTGGTGTACGCCTTTAATCCCAGCACTCGGGAGGCAGAGGCAGGCGGATCTCTGTGAGTTCGAGGCCAGCCTGGTCAATATAGTGAGCTCCAGGACAGCCAGGACTACACAGAGAAACCCTGTCTCAAAAACCAAAAACAGAGGAGGAAGAGGAGGAGGAGGAGGAGGAGGAGGAGGAGGAGGAGGAGGAGGAGGAGGAGGAGACAAGGCTCACTCTGATTCCTAGATAAACCAGCCATTTTGGCCACATGCTCTCTTGGCTCTGCTCACCCTTGGTCCTCTTGGCGTTTTGGTCTGCTTGCCTTCTCTCTTCTTCCTCTTTTGCTCTCCTCTTCTCTCTCTCCTCTCATGGCCCAATCTATTCTGCTGGCCATGTTCAGTCTGGATCTTTCCAGATCCCTCTGGCTGAACTCCCCCTCGTATCTACAATAAAACCCTTCTCCTCAACCACACCTTGGAGCTGTCATGTCCTCACTTTCATTCATAGGTCAGGCTGGGCAACAAATCTAGATTAGCATGCTATGAGCCAGCTTTTTGGAGCCCAGTGCCTACGGTGGGACACCTTGGTGCAGGGAGGAGGGGCTTGGACCTGCCTCAACGGAATGTCCCAGGCTCTGCTGACTCCCCATGGGAGACCTTGCCTTGGAGGAGGTGGGAATGGGGAGGTGAGTTGGAGGGGAAGGCTGGGGGCGTGGAAGGAGGGAGGAGAGGGGAATCTGTGGTTGCTATGGAAAATGAATAGAAAACTTCTTAATAATAAAAAATGATTAGTATGCTAATTACCATGCATTTGATGTGGGTTTTGTTGTGAGGGGTGTGTTATTTCTGTATTTTGAAACAGGATCTTGCTTTGTGGCCCAGGCTAACCTCAAACTCAAGGTGATCCTCCTGCTTCAGCCTTTGTCATGTCTGAATTACTGGCTTGTGCTACCACACCTGGCTTAGTCTGCATTTATCAAAGTTGTACTATGCCAAACACAAAGTGTTTTTTTTTTGTTTTGTTTTTTCTTTTTTTTTTTTTTTTTCAGAGCTGAGGACCGAACCCAGGGCCTTGTGCTTGCTCTACCACTGAGCTAAATCCCCAACCTGTGTTTTGTTTTTTAGTTTGTTTTGTATGTGTTTTTCTTTGAGACAAAGTCTCATAACCCAAGCTTGCTTTGAGCTCTTATTGTGTAGCTGAGGCTGGCCTTGAACCCCTGATCTTCCCCACCTACCAGGTGCTGGGGTTACCTGCATGCACCATGGTGCCTATACTTCACTTGTATTAACTAGTCACACAACCGCATGACCTTCTTATTGCTATCAAAGTCAAGTGTGGCTCGTTAGTAGTACCCTCTATGAGCATGTGGGATGCCTTAACAACAATAACTGCTATCCCTTCTTTTCAGGTGAGGAAACGTAAAACCTCACATGGCTCATGAGGGGAGGATTACTGGGTCACATGCAGATACCTAGAAGGAGTACAACCAGAGTTCCAAGCCAGAATCCTGGCTCTCAACCTCATGTGCATTGCTTCATAATTACACAAGGCTTCAGTCCTGGGTCTCACTTCTGGAGGAGGTCACGACAGTGTTTAAATGAATCATAATGGGACGACAAGATGATGACATAATAGTTTTTAAATGGCATTGGAGGCAAACGAGACAGCTAGCTGTAATACTGCACTGAGAATGGAATTGATCTAGGACACGGAGGTCTGGTTATTAATGATTTAAGGAATCAGAGCAACTAATACATTATGCCCATGCCTGAGAAATGGAAAGGTGCTCTGGGAGGTAGGGTAAAGACGAGACATTTGTCATACTCATTGAGAATAGACCCTGGGGAACTTTCATTGCCAATAATCAAGGAGAAAATATGAACCCGCCTACCTTTGACTCCAGGGGCAAACTACAAATCAAACAGCAGGATCTTCTCATGAAAGCAATTGCCTGAGCATCACGAGAGCCACATAGTTCATCTGCCTTTGCTTCCTCGGCACTCCCTGTCCCATCCCCAGTCTCTCCTGAAAGAGAGAGGTAGATAGCTTTTGAGGAATTCTGCATTATTTGCTGATTGGAGAAAGATGTGAGAGACTGGGACTGTTTATCGTACAGTCTACTACAACAACCATATCCTTCCTTCTTTTTTTCTTTCTTCCTTATTCATTCATTCATTCATTCATTCACTCATTCATTCATTGGTTTTATAAGACATGATTTCTCTGTGAAGCCCTTGCTATCCTGGAACTTACTCTGTAGACCAGGCTGGCCTGGAACTCAGAACTCTGCCTGCCTCTGCCTCCCAAGTGCTGGGATTAAAAGTGTGTGCCACCACCGCTCAGCTCTTTATTCTCTAACCCTGGTTGACTTGGTACTCAGTTTGTAGCCCACGCTGGCCTTGAACTCACAATGCTCCTGCCTTAGCCTCTAGACCAGAGGTTCTCAGCAGGTAGGTAGAAATCCCTTTTGAGGGTCAAACAGCCATTTCACAGGGGTTGCCTAAAACCATTGGAAAACACAGATATTGCAATACAGTTCATAACAGTAGCAAAATTACAGTTATGAAGAAGCAACAAAAATAATTTTATGATTGGGGGTCACCCCAACATGAGGAGCTGTATTAAAGGGTTGCAACATTAGGAACGTTGAGAACCACTGCTCCAGACTCTAGAATCTAAAGTGCTGAGATACAGATATGAATCACTATATCTGGCCTGTCTGGGATATTTTTGTTTGTTTGTTTTTCAAGACAGGGTTTCTCTGTGTAGCTTTGGTGCCTATCCTAGAACTAGCTCTGTAGACCAGGCTGGCTTCAAACTCACAGAGATCCGCCTGCCTCTGCCTCCTGAGTGCTGGGATTAAAGGCGAGCACCACCACTGCCCAGCTGTCTAGGATATTTGTTACAGTCTTGCTAAGAAACCCTGACTAGCCTAGAACTCACAGTAATCCTGCTGCGTTAACTTTCAGAGTACTGGTATTACATACGTGTACGACCATGCCTGACTTGTGGGCACTACTCTTAATCCTGTTTTACAGATAGAGGAACTAAGATCCAAGAAGGTTAAATAACTGCCCCGACCTCAAGAGTCTGGTTTTGAGTTCATCTCTCCCTTTCTCCAGAACTTAAATGCATGCTTGCATGTATACAAGTGAGATAGAGCGAGACACGTTTGAGGTAGGTGATTGAAGCAGTCTCTTAGGTATTCCTGGCTGGACTTGAATTCGTTATGTAGCTCGGGTTTGGCCTTGAACTCTGATCCTCCTGCCTCAGTTTTCCCAGTGTTGGGATTACAGGTGTGCATCAATACACAAGCTTATTTCCACTTTCTAAACTTAGATTCAATAAAGTCTTTAGCAAAACTATGAGCTTTTGGCTTGTAATAGTCTCTATATATGCTGTGACCTTGGTTTTGGCTTTCAGGCTAAATCTCTCTGGGGAAAAGGATTATATGGATGAAGAGGGTCAACACTCAGGGCAGTGACTTGGTATTAATTTCCTTCTTACTTTCATGTGGTTTGACTCTCTAGGATGCCCGCTGGAGTCTGATAATTTTTGTCTTCCCCAAGGGCAATTCTAGACCAGTTTAGCGCTTCTTCCTCTTAGCCTCTCCAGTTTGGGGTCTCATGGCATGTGATCTATTATTTCTAAAAAGCCATATCCCTGTAGCACCTCTTTATTTGTCGTATTAGGCCAGGTTATGTAGCAACAGCAAAAAAGAAATCCCAGGTGTCCATGACTAAACCAAACCAAACTGTCTCACTCATGTCAAGTCGGCTTCAGGGTCAGCACCTTTCTCCCTGGGATCCCAGCTACTCCAGTATGTGGCTGTGCTATCTCAGGACAAGACCTAAAGGCACTATAGCAGGGTGGAGAGAACAAGTCACAGGCAGTTCTATTTGACTTGGCCTCGAGGTGACAGCCATCAGTTCTTTCCAGCCCACCAACCACAGTAAGTCCAATGCTCCTGGTAAACTCTGAGGGGATTAAGAAGTATCAAAACCCATGACCTTCTGTGAGTTGGACATGTCTGTGTTTGTCCCACAATATATCACACACTCTCTTCCCCTAGGCTAGTTGCAAACCATCCACTTAACACACGAAACTTTAACCTTCCACCTCTGAACCCACCAGTCACTGCTTCATTCCCTTTCTGTTCTCTCGCATGCTTTGCCTTCTGTCAGATGACCAGTGCTCTTCCCCTTGCATGGCTCACACTTGCAAAGTTTTCTCTTTTTTTCCCCCATGCTTCATTTTCCATCCAGTTTTCCAGGAGCTACTCAGCTGAGAGTGGTCTGGAAAGACCCTCCTGACTTCCTGTAATTGGAGTCAGAAAGAGCAAGAACACTCTTTCTAGAGAAGTGGGTGAAGAAAGGGGGGTATGGGGAACACTGCAGGCATGAAAGTAGGTTGTATTACTCCTCTGGGAGTCAGGTCCTTCGGCCATCCCTGGAGTTAGATAAATACACAGTAGACTCAAAGAACTCTGCGAAACTGACCTCATGACCTGTTGTAGAAATGAGTAAGGCTTATTGTCTTAGTTAGGATTTCTATTGCTGTGAAGAGACACCGTGACCACAGCAACTCTTATAAAGGAAAACATTTATTTAGGGTGGCTCAATTACAGTTCAGAGGTTCAGAACATTATCATCATGGCGGGACATGGTGGCACACAGGCGGACATGGTGCTGGAGAAGTAGCTGAGAATCCTACATCTTGCAGGCAACAGGAAATGGTGGTCTGAGACCCTGGGCAGTATCTTGAGCATATATGAGACCTCAAAGTCCACTTCCACAGTGACACACTTCCTCCAACTAGGCCATAACTACTCCAACAAGGTCACACCTCCTAGTAGTGCCACTCCCTTTGGGGGCCATTTTCTTTCAAACCACCACACTCATCCACAGTACATGTGCATTCTGACCTGAATGAACAGTAGTATGTCTTTTATTATTTTGCATTACTGGGGAAACCTAGGGCCTGCCTATTCATGCTAGCTGAGCACTCTATCACTAGCTATATCCTAAGCCCTGGTGTTTTGTTTTGTTTTTGTTTATTTTGTTTTGCTTTGTTGAGCTAGGATCTCATGTAGCTCAGGCTGTCCTCAAATTCAATGTGTACCTGAGTCTGGTCTCCTGATTTTCCTGCCTCCATTTCCTAAGCGGTAGGATTATAGACACATGGCACCAGGGCTGGCCTTCATTACTTTTTGTTTGTTTGGGGGTTTATTTGTTTGTTTGCAGTTTTGATTATTATGATAAGATCTTTCTATATAACCTTGGCTGGATGGATACTTGCTATGTGGTCCAGGCTGGAATTTTAAGCAAGTACCTCCACAATTGCTTTGTGTGTTTCACACACACACACACACACACACACACACACACACACACACACACACACAGAGAGAGAGAGAGAGAGAGAGAGAGAGAGAGAGAGAGAGAGAGAGAGAGAGCCAATATCTAGCTCAGGCAATTCTGGAACTGACTATGTAGACTAGGCTAGCCTGTTGTCAGACTTTCTTTGGACTACCACCTCCCAAATAATGACACGGAGACTTCTTATGAATTATGAAAGTGTGGCCTTAGCTTAGGTTTGTTCCCAACTAGCTCTTATAACTTAAATTAACCATTTATATTAATTTACATTCTGCCATGTGGCTCGTTTACCTCTCCTCAGTACTGTATGTCCGACTTTCTCTGTGTCTTGCTGGTGAAATCCCAGAGCCAGATTCTAACCTAGAGTTCCTATCTCTGCCCAGAAGTTCTGCCTATCCTCTTCCTGCCTAGCTATTGGCCACTCAGCTCTTTATTAAACCAACCAGAAGGTGCCTAGGCAGGTGAGGTAAAAACAGCAACACATCTTCACAGTGTGATCAAATATCCTGCAATACTGGCCTTGAACTTATGTCAATCCTCTTGCCTCTACCTCCAAAGTACTAAGATTATAAACATGTGTAACCATGGCCACTTTTAGAGTCATTATTGTAACCATATATAAACAATTAGCAAAACAAGAATTTCTGAGCATGTGTATGCCTAAGAAGAGAACATATAAAGCTGATAGCAAGAATTAGCTTGTAGAGATTGCTTTTTTTTCTTTAATAATTGCTGGGAGTCTGTCTTAGGGTTTTCTATTGCTGTGAAAAGACACCATGACCACAGCAACTCTTAGAAAGAAAACATTGAATTGAAGGGGCTCGCTTATAGTTCCAGAGGTTCAGTCCATTATCATCATGATGGGGAGCATGGTGGTGTGCAGGCAGATGTGGTAATAGAGCTGAGAATGCTACATCTTACAGGCAACAGGAAGTCAACTGTCACACTGAGGGAAGCTTGAGCAAAAGAGACCCCAAAGCCCTCCCCCACAGTGACACACTTCTTTCTTCAAGGCCACACCTAATCGTGCCACTTCCTTTGGGGGCCATTGTACCAGACTTTTTTTTCCACCTGCCAGTTTCCAAATAACCAACATGGAGACTCAATATTAATTATAGATGCTTGATTGATAGCTCAGGCTTATCATTAGCTAACTCTTACATTTTAAATTAACCCATATTTTTTCTTTTCTTTTATTTTATCTAAATAACATTTTTTTGTTTTGTTTTGTTTTTCAAGACAGGGTTCCTCTGTGTAGTTTTGGTGCCTGTCCTGGATCTTGTGCTGTAGACCAGGCTGGCCTTGAACTCACAGAGATCCTCCTGCCTCTGCCTCCTGAGTGCTGGGATTTAAAGGCGTGCGCCACCACTGCCTGGCTAAATAACATTTTTTTTTCATTTATTTTACATATTGACCACACTTACCCTCCCTACTCTCCTTCCATTCCCTCTCCATTTCCCATCTACCCCTCTCCTCATCCACTGCTCTTCCTCCATCTCTATTCAAAAAGGGGCAAGCCTCCCATGGGCTTGAACAAAGCATGGCACATCAAGTTGAGGCAGGACCAAGCTCCTCCCCTTGCATCAAGGCTGGACAAGGTAATCCAGCATGGGGAACAGGTTCCCAAAAGCCAGCTAAGCGCCAGGG